GATTATGAACTTGCCATGACTAAATAAATAAGTTGAATTTTGGTAAGAAATTATACAGATGTATTGCCATTTATATTTAAAAAGGTAGAGATGCACACTGCACATCTTTATCTACTCTATTACTCAAGTAAAATACAAACTCAGGTTCCCTGCAGCTATTTATTATTTTGTCATTAAGATAACCATTCATTTATTCACTACCACTATCATTTACCACATTCTGGTATCGAACTTAAAGGACACAAAGCAAGTCAAACTAAGAAAAATGGTTAATTCTTGTTGACTAATATGTTTGATTTCTTCTTTGAAATGACTTAGAAATTATGTTCTAATAATATTGTATAATTATGCCTGTAAGTGACACTGCTATCAGAAATTGTACTTTATTTCTTTTATGATTACAACTAAAATTGTTTGTTAAAAACCAGACTAGACAGTTTAACTATTGTTGTTTCACGTCAAAATATATTAAAATAGTTATTAAATCATATTTGACTTGAAATTCAAGTAATTTTTAATAATATTACTTAACGTCGGACACACACAACTTATATCAACCTAACAATAGAATTATAAGTACTGATTGTAATACTAAGTTGATAGATACATAGAAAAATGATATATTATGTATGTTCGTTTGTGTTAAATGTGTGCGTTTAATGATAACTTGAAAATGATTTAGTTTGTAAGTAAACTATGAAATATTAACTTAATTCAATTACCCACGATGTTTATTATATGAATTATGTATTAAATTAATTTTGAAAAATATGTATAAAGTGTACTCAGTTTGATAAACTTAGCTTACATAACAATACTTTGTAAAAGGGGCTGAATAGAGACAGAACTTAAAATATTTTCTTGCAATAAGTGTAGACAGAAGCACGTCGAGCTACCCCAATAAATTGTATACTAAATTCAACCTTATCATAAAACGATAAAGTCGAAACTTGAGAGTCACTTCTATTACGCGTTCAATAACTTTTTTATATACTTGTTTTTCAATTTCCAAAGTATTTTTTTAATAACCACGTTCGAGTACTTTGTCATGCAATTTGTTTTTGGTATGATTTATTTAATTGGAGTTCCATAGTCTCTGCCTACCCCTATATGGGAGACATAACCTCAAGCTTGTCTGATTATTGATGATTTATTTAATCTGCCGTCTCGACAGTTTTCTAACTGAGAGGTTCAGACATCAATTGACATTAAAAATTTACAAAAATAATACAAACATTAACACAGTATTCCATAGAAACACCACAGTCGTACGACCCACACAAGTAGCGATTCTGACGTGCAAATCGATCGTCGGAACTGGGTATAGGGGCGAAACACTAATCGAACCATCTAGTAGCTGGTTCCGTCCGAAGTTTCCCTCAGGATAACATAAAAACAGCGGTATGAAGTTTATTCCACCTAGTGGCAAATTGGTTGCGGAACTGGTTGTCAGCAACCAGATAAACACTGATGTGGTTGTCTCTCCGTAAACATTATGGTTGACTGGCACTTATTAAATGACTTAAAACTCTCTATTCTCCTCGTTTTACAAAGTATTCATTTCAAATTATAAATCGCAGAGATTTAAAGTGTTATAATGTGTTTTTCTATAAATTCGTCATATTGTAAAATATATTTAAAGAATATATTGTCATCTCTTTCTTTTTTACGAGTGCTTGTCATCTAGCTCGCTCATTGGAATGTTTAATTTCGAAACGGAAAAATGTACCTAAATGATTAAAATATAATTGAGATTTAGAATATTCCAACATTGTTGTAGATAGAAAACATTTATCTAATAAATTACTTATTCATTAGACATTACTGTACCGACATTAATGACGGCAAGAATCAGTCGTTATGTTGTCGATTTTTTAATTGTTTACATTCTTATGGTTTTGGAATAAAGTTTAAAATCAATTAATTTCGTACGACTTTGTAGCCGATTACTGTCGTTATTGTTGTCGAGACTGCCTCCAGGATTTATGAAGAATAGTGATATTATTTTTTAATATAATTTTGTATGTTTTTGTCATAATTTTATGCCATGATTACAACCAATAAGTACGTTACATCAAATCATTATTTTTCTATTATTTTAAAACAACAGATTATTTAATTTAATACTTATTGAGATTTTTGTAAATACTTAAATCAATTATTTTGTATATTACGATTTAAATTTATGTTTTTATTTATTTTTTAATTTAATTTAAATGTTTTTTGACCTTAGTAATATTGAATGAATATTGTTCAGATTGACTCGTTTGCATCCTGTATGACTAGAAACTTATTAAAACTAGAATGAAGAGAGATGATTGATTGATTATATTAATTCTATAAATAATCGCACTGAAAGACTAGCAGCCGCGATTATTGCGGTAGACTCATCCAAGATTGTTTTTCTATTACTAACTGTAATTTCAAAGTAACTGTTAGTAAAATAAGTTTGCAAAGAACTTTCCTAACAATGAAAGTTTACTTGTAATACAATATGTTAATGACCTAGGTTCATTCCCCCGATGAATGTGATCCGTAAACTGGCACAATTTTGTACATTTTGTATGTAATATTTGGTGCTATAGTGATTTTCGTGGTGTACTTCTATGAATTAAACAAAATGAAATGTAATGCGACTGACTTTTATTTTAATTACCATGCAAGATACTTTTATACGGACGTCGCGTCGCCGGGATTATTGTCGACCAACCTAAATATATTTTTATGGCATAAGCCGGTAAACGAGCAGACGCATCACCTGATGGTAAGCAATCGGCGTCGCCCATGGACACCTGGAGAAGAGGCTAACGCCTCTGGTGTTACAGGTCCAAGTGCGTTACCGGCCTTTTGGGATTTGAGGATTGTTGGAGATTCAGGGATTGCGGAAAGGGGGGAGGAGTAATTAGGCCTCCGGGAACCTCACTCACACAACGAAACATGCAAGCGTTGTTTCAGGTCAGTCTTCTCACTGTGAAGCCGTAGTAGGACTCCGGTCGAGCCAGCCCATTCATGCCGAACCATGGCTGGCTCTCCCACACTTAAAATATTATTATTGGACCATTTTATTTTTCCTTATTTATTATAACATTAATAGTGAAAAGTGGGTGTTACCTCTGTGTGCACCACTGCCTACCCCTTCGGGAATAAAAGGCGTGATGTTATGTCATGTTTATTTTTCTTTCAATGTCAAAATGTTCTATAACTTGTCCCATACTAGCCTTCAAATCAGTAAACACTACGCAGAAGTTAGCAAACTCTTGAAATCAGCTATCAAATCGAAATAATTTTTGTTTGACTAAGAATTCTAATTTCAAATTAATTTTATTTTGTAATCATGGATTTTTTCCAAAAGTACCTAGTCATTGTTTGTTGATTTAGTGTTACATTTTCATCGCATTTCAATTGTATTCATCATCATGGATACGCTGAAAATTCGAATAATTATGGAATATGAGTACTGTCCTTGCAGCAACGCGGCAACAGTGGCACGCAACACCAACGACGTTTACAGAGTTAACACTACAAACCAACGCACCGTTTTGCTCGTTTCCGTTCTGGAAATAAACTCCTGGACACATCTATTGGCCCACCTTGTATTTTCAGTTTCGTTTGGTCCTAGCAAAATTTTTATATTAGGTCGAGCAAAAAGTTTTTATGCAGTTTTGAACCTGGCACATTTACAATTTCATTCAATAGTCTTTTTTTGAATTTCGAACACAGAATTTAAAGAAACCAAAGACAATTTGGAGCCTATTTGTTGACATCAATCAATCGAAAACTAAGAAAACTTTTACTTTATTTGATAAAACATCTTTTTTGTTCAAAAATCAATTGCCTTTAAGGCAAGGCGCATATCCGATTTGTTAGGCGTAGCATCCCCTATACTTATTATACTCTTTGGGCGTAGCTCCATGTCGTATGGTATTCTGAATTCAAATTTTAAACAATACGATCGAAAAAGATTGTAAAATACATAGTTAAAACTGCAAGTTTAAAACTGCATCAACAATTTTTGTTCAATCTAGCAATCATATTTCAGTAGACGCCATCGAAGCCTGAACTCTAAGGTGGGCCAATAGATGTGTCGAGAAGTGTATATCGACTTGAAAAATAAACCTCGCGGTTGTCTGAAGACTGCTCGACAATGATGAAAGACGATGTGGAAGGTGATGATACACAATTTACAACTGAATAAGCAGCAGAATTCGACGTTAGCGTCAGATAAAATAATATTGGTCAATTTGCGTCAAATTGGAAACAAAAAAAAGCTTAACAAATGGATGCCCCACGAACTCCATGATCTCCAGCGCGAAGTATGCGTCGAGACGACCCTTGCACTCCTCAACATACACAATTGAAAGAGTTGTTACCTGGAAAATGGATTATGTTTGATAAACGCAAGCGCTCGGCAAGTCGGTTGGATCCTGGTTCAATTAGACAATGCCCTAAATGAAAACATACCCCTAGAACAGCGATGGTCACTGTTTGGTGGTCTAGCGCCTGTGCGATTAATCACAGCTTTGCGCTAAACGGGGTGAGCATTACTGCAGATGTGTATTGTGAAGAACTAAACACAATGATGGAGAAGCTGGCCCTTCTACCAACATTGGTCAATATCGCTTGTCTCCATCATCCGCCCTACTCACCAGACCTTGCGCCTACAGTTTACTTGGTACTTTTTCCAGAATTTGGATAACTTCTTGGCGGGAAAAATATCAATATCTATAATTGAAGAATTTTTTGCCTTTCGTCCAGCTAATTTCTTTAATATCAGGGCATCAATAAACTGCCACTGCGTTGGCAAAGATGCATTGATTGCATGGCTGATTACTTCGATTAATACATTAATTTTCATGACAAAATTCGTTTAATTTTTTTCATACATAACAGCAATTTCATATGTAAACCTATTAATATTTGCCAATGCAAATCACTGTTACTATTTCAGGGTCAACTAAAACAAGAAAGTAAAAAAAGCAATAAATTAATTTATTTATTAACAATTTCGTTTCACAAATCAAATTCATAAAAATAAAACTACTTTTTTCTAAAAATGTTACTCAGCCTTCTGCTTCGTGGGGTTCCCTGAAATAAATAAAAATCGTCAAATTATTTACACATTTATAACAAAATGATTTCGATGCAAAGTAATCAAATAATATTTCGGAGATTTTTGTACAGGTTTTGGCGGCTTTTTGGGGCTTTTGCCCAGTAGGATAAAAGCCCGAAATACAATATTAGCATTTTTTTATTTTACGCTACCGTGCCAGAGCATAGCCCACGTAAACGTAATTCAATAAAAAAAAAAACTCAGACTTACTTCGGCGGTATCGTTTTTCGATGATCGGAACAGAGATCGGATGCGGGACGGTGTGCTCGTCTTACGGGACGGTTGCGGCTCGGCCTCCACACGCAACGACTCGCGTAGCTCAGAGTCCTATACAGACAATGTTCATAGTAATAAGATATTAATTTAATAACAATTATAAGAATAAAAGGACTGGTTGTGATCTAGTATGTACGTAAGTAATAGAATTTGGTGGAGTTCTGAATATGTGAAACACGGTACTCACAGTAGCGGAGAGTCTTCCAGCCTGTTTGCTAGGAGTGGGTGGTCCTGGCTTCTTGTAGGCAGTGATGCCGACCTCCTTGCGCTGAAGCTTGCCCCCGGCAGCTCCCGCCGCGCCCAGACACTGCAACGTTACCAAACATATTACACCTACACGATTCTGATAGCCAATTAGTAAAATATATTTGCAGTTTGTTTAGGCCGAAGAACAAGTTTTAGCCTTAAGAGTTAATTTATGAAAGTCACCTTAATATCTTCTTCGTCGACAGCTTGCGCGAATTGTGTTTCAGCGGGGTACGAGCTCTTGAGGTGCGGGGGGCAAAGTGAGTTGCGCCAGCGGAGCTCCGACAGGCGCTGGCCGGGGGGCGCGGGGTCCTGGGGACCCGGCGCCGCGGGGTCACGGGGACCCGGGGCGTAGGACGCGCGCCGCGGCGTGGCGGCCAACTCCTTCAACCAACGATTGTCGAACACCTCGCCTTCCTCGTCCGACATGTGTAGCGTGCGGTCGCGGTCATCTGTTCGCGACAAATACAAGTATATTCGTTAAAATTGGTTCAAAGTAAGAACATTTCGATCGGATATTATAATTTCGTTACCTCGTTTGGCGCCGTGGTTTACAGGTAGAGAGCGCAGCGAGTGAGAGTCGAAGGGACGGTCTACTTCTTCTTGGAATGGTACGAGACCAGACTGTAAATAAAAAATCGTCAGTAAGGTCGATGACGTGAGTGACCCGTGCGGTCGAGGCGAGTGACGTAGAGGTGTACGTACAGAGTGCACGTGTTGCAGCGACATGAGCGAGGCGGAGCGCGCGGCGCGGCGCGCGGCGGCGGCGTGGTCGCGCTGCGCGAGGAACTTCTCCCCCACCGCCCACAGCTCCGCCGTCAGCGCGCGCACGTGCTGCTCGTAGGCGCGCGACGTGGCCGCCAGGCGGGCGCGCGCGCGGGACAACTCCGCCTCCAGCGCGCTCACCTCCACGCGCTGCTTCTCCTTGTACACCGCGATCTGCTCCGTGTACAGTTGTTTCTGGAAACGAGAATATCGTCAGCTCCAACTCTTCGCATCTATGACTCATGCTCGATACCAAACAGCGTGCGACAGGCCATGCATACATACATAAATATATACAAATATATTACCTTCGGATCGGCTTCTAACTTAATCTCTATACTACGAACGATGCTTTAATGAAAACTCTAACGTAAACCGAATAGAAATAAAACAAAAGCATCCATTAAAACAATTTATTCAACAATAACAACAATAAAATTTATCGACTTCACAAGCTATAACGGTCAATCGCAAGCCACACCACTCAGTGATCCATCAGAAGGTAGCACCACCACACCACCTGGTATAGCAATATCAACAACAGTATGGGGAGGATACTGACCATTTTACTCTTCATTCGGTTGAGTTTGTCCTCGTACTCGGCGCGCACCTCCATGACGGTGCCGGGCTCCGCCCCGGGCGGGGGCTCCGCCCGCGGCGCCCGCGCCACGTCCTCCAGCAGCTGCTGGAACAGCTTCTCCAGCTCGTCCAGCTGCACTTCCAGCCCTGCGTTCTGGAAACTAGCGCTGGCCAGCGACGTGCGCTCACTGTCGCTGAGGAAGGCTTGCTTCAGCTTCTCTGCCGACACCGTCCGCGCCATGCAGCGCTCCAGCCAGCGCTGCAGCGCCAGCGCGGCCTCGGCCAGGTCCTGCGCGGCGGCGCCGTGGCCGCGCTCGAGGCGCGCCAGCGTGGCGGGGGCCACGCGGCCCTCCAGCGCCAGTATCTCGCGTCGCACGGTGCGCTGCACGGATATGACGCGGCTCAGCTTCGTGGCGTATAGCTCCTTGATGGAGCTCAACGTCTGGAAGCTGACCGACAGTTCCGTCAGGAACTTCTTCATGTTCAGTATCTCCGACTCGTTTATCTTGTTCACTTCAGTCAGTCGATCGCGTTCTTTCTGCAGCGCTAGTTGTTTCTCCGAGCACTTCCTCAGATGTCTGTCTGTAGTCTCCAGGAAATTCTCGAGGTCCTCCATGGTGATAGTCCCAGCACTGAGGCTGCGCTTCACTTCGCTATCATAGTTGTTAGAGTTACCAAAGTTAGTGAGTTCTTTGAGTACAGTGTTGGTCTTTATCTCGGCGATCCTCTTGAGTATGATCGCCTGGTACTTGGCGGACACTTTAATGATCTGCGTGGCTCTGTTCTCAGTGACGGACATCTTGTTCACTTGTTTCCTGAGGTCAGCGATCTCCTCATTTTTCTGGTGTACGATTTTCTTAAGCTGACTAGACAACTGGTGGCAGTTCTCCTTGCTTAACTCGAGCTCTTTGGTGACGTCGAGCAGTTTAGTTTCGGACTCGGCCATCAAGGTCTTGAGGTACGTGACGTCACTCTGCAGCGTCGTGATCGTTCGGTTCTTGTCATTGATAATTTTTTCTAAGTCTGTGATGGTCTTTAAGCTCTCCACGGATGAGTGTGTGATGTCTGAAGATGTGTTATCTACCTGATGCTGGAAGTCGCGGAGCTCCCTCTCCGCGTGACCAGAGTGCTTGTGGCTCGAAGTCTTTTCTTGAGTCTGTACAGCGGCAACTGCGAACGAAACATGGTTAATTTAAATGACCAAGCATATATACACAAACCTATATCTAAAATAAAGCAAAAATAGACATACATGTCTCTCGCATTCCTACAGCCTTGATTAGTTCCTCGTTTTCTTTTTTCAGAATATGTAATGCTTCTCTCTGTGTGTTAATTTCGTCCAAATTTTGTTTCAATTCGTTTACAGTCTTGGTCTTCTCCTGTATTTCGTGGTCAAGCATTTCTTTAGCAACTTTGAGTTCGTCTAGTTCCTTGGTAACGGAGGTAATGACGGCGTCTTTTTCTTTGCTGATTTTAGATAAAATTGCGTCTTTAGCTTTTGATTCATCTTCGCATTGTTGTACTTTGGCCTTCAACGTGTTTATTTCTTTCTGTAGCATATTTATTTCTTTTTGCCTTTCCTCGAGTTGTTCCTCAGCCTTATCATGGTATTGTTGCAATATGTCGCACTTGCTGATTAAGTTCTGTTTGTCATTCTGAATGTCCTCAGAAAGTTGTTTATTTTTTTGTTGAAGCTCTTTGACCAGCGCCTCTAAGTAAGAAATCACTGAAATTAAAATACATAAATTTTTTAATATTAGTACATACATAACATGAAGCCTTGTATCCCCGAGGGAGTAGGCAGAAGTGCACATTACGGCACTTAATGCCACTGTACAATGTAACACCCACTTTTCACTATTTATGTCACGAGTCCCATGTAGGATAAGCCTATTGCCATATACCAGGCACAATTCTAGACTCCGTGCTAGTACTGATTATTTTTAAAACCCAGTAATATTTTGCCCGACTCGGGAATCGAATCCGAGACTCGCTCTTGCGACCACTCGACCAACGAGGCAGTTTAATATAAATATTGAAAGATAAAGCAAACCTCATTTGAGCAATTAACATACCTGTTTTGTTATTTTCAACAGTTTTAAGGAGATTTTGTATTTCATCGTTCAATTTTGAATTTTCTTCTCCATACTGTTGACAGAGGATCTTCATACTGTTTTCTAACTCTTTATTATTGTCACTTATTGACTTTTTCTCTTCTTCCAAAATATTTTTGTCTTGTATAAGAATATGAATTTGTTCATGAAGTAAATTGAGTTTATCGTTACATTCTTTGATACTGGCATCCTTTTCTTTTAATGTTAACTCTAAATCTTTATTGGTTGCCGTTTGTGCTTGTACTGAATTCTGTAATTCTACAATTTCTCCTCGTAATTTTTGCTCAGTCATGTTCCCTTCGCCTTTCAACCCTTCATTACGTTTTTCCAACATAACTATATCTGGAATAGGAAACAATGAAGATTAAGCATTAAAATTATTGCCACAAAACACTTCGCAAGATGTGTGTTTCGGTAGTTGACAAGTAGTCAAATTCAATACTTTTATTGAAATGACAAAAACGATACTTCTCTATAAATTTTGTATTGGAATGCAATTTACGTCATCATATTTCTGCGTCAAATAGCGTACCTAATTCTTTAAAATTAGCGAGAAAAATATCCAAGAGTAGGTAAATTGTCAAATGAATGAATCAGAATATTCTTATTTTTAATTATTTATTGCATTGAAAAGTTGAAACAATTTATTTTAAACCTAGGAAACTAGCCAATTGTTTCTTACAGACTTCAAAAAAGGATTCTCAGTTTTACCTGTATGTATGTAATGTAGGTTTGTGCGATATCTCGCGTTAGGCTGAACCGATTCTAAAGCGGTTTTCATGTCATGGTATTTATTATTTTACTTTCTTAAAACATAACATACCATCACGTTTTTTTATCCCCAAAGGGGTAGGCAGAGGTGCACATTACGTGCAATGTAACACCCACTTTTCACTGTTTATGTTATGAGTCCCATGTAATAGGGGGTGAGCCTATTGCCATATACCGGGCAATTACAGACTCCGTGCTACCACTGAGATTTTTTTTAACCCTAATATTTAAGTAATACTTTGCCCGACCGGGGAATCGAACCCAAGATCCTTTGCCCGGCAGTGGCACTTGCGACCGCTCGGCCAACGAGGTAGTCTATAATTTCCATATTAATTTCTTGTTATAATTATATAGTTAAAACATCAATATGTTCAGTACACTGTAAAATTCCACTTACCATCTTTACATTTTCGTACCAAATCCTCTAGTTCTTTAGTTTGTTCCTTTATTTTTTTATTTTCAATAATTTTACTTTGCAAATTGTCCTTCATTTTTCGTACTTCAGCTACAAAACTTTCTTTATTGAGAGAGGCTCCATCGGCACTTATAAGCACACCTACTTCTTTAACTAGCAATTCAAATGCACTTTCTTTCTCCTCAACCTTAACTTGCAAATTCTTTATTTCATTCTCAATCACTTCTTTTAATTGTTTCTCTATGCTATCTTTTTCAATTTTCACCTCGGCGGTTTCTTTTAATAACATTTCTAAAGCATAATCTTTTTCCTGTAATTTTACTTTGGAATTTTCCTTTTCTTTCTCTAAGGCTTTGGTGACAGCTTCCTTTTCTTCTTGCAGTGCCTCATTAGTTCGTACATGCTCTGCAATGATATTGTTCAAAGCCACTTTCTGATCTTCCATAATGGACTCAGTAACAGTCACCATGTTCTTAAGTATCTGCCTCTCAGCATCAAAATCTTTTATTAATTTTTGTTTATTTTGAACTTCAAGTTTAATCTCCTCTTCTAATGCTTTAATTGCTGTAAATTAAATCAACAAAATGAAAGTGTAAACCAGATGAAACAGCAATGGCCCCAATATGATGCCCTGTGGAACCCATCATCGGCATTTTGATATTCGTTTATAATAGGTCATCTTAAAATATATAGTTATAGTATTTTGATTTGAACACTTTCATTATGCTTATCACATATTTTAATCTCAATTAAGTGTTTAAGAATGTCTCAATCTTATTGTTCAGTGAATCAAAGGCCTTAGACAATCCCAAAACGAGGTTGTATAATAGAGGTTATAACTGTTAATGTACATAGTTCTCGTTAATTACTTGGATAAAATTTAACAAAAAATAGCACATTTTTTATATATACTTTACCTTGACTATTCTCTTCTACAGTTTGCATCAGTCGTTCCTTTTCCCTCCTAATAGCATCATACTCCGAGGTCTTATCTTTCAAGTAATTCGACAGCTTAGTGATCATAACATTCAAGTTATCTATCTGACATTCGTACGTCATCTTCAGTTTGTCAGTCAAGTTCTCGTTATCAATTAGTTTCTCCTTCAAAGAATGTACTTTCACCTCCAGCTGTAGCTTGACATCATTCAAGTCATTTGTGAGTGCTTGGTTCTCTTTCGTTAGTGTTTGTATATCTCTCGTCTTGTTTTCGATCGTCGCGTTATATGTCTCGGTACGCTTTGATAGTTCTATAAGTAAATATAATATAAATACGAAGAAAGTGCAACGTTTAGCAAATACTAGAAGATAAACATGAAAGGACGAAGAAGTAAGGTGCAGAGATAGATAGAAGATTTAACGTCCAAATGTCAGATGTCACGTTAGATGGTTAGTTTAAACGAGGACGTACAAGTGTTTGAGAACATTGCAGCTCTCACGACAGTCCCCTGTGTGTCTGAGTGCTGCAAAGTTCATAAATAATTACCACATGTAATACACAGACAGGACCGCAACGAAACAAAATAGCTAGCTAAAAATTAGTAAAAAGATTAGTGGAAATATTCTAGAAGTTATAGAGAAACAATACAATTAGAAAAATTAACAATTTATTGAATACTCACCAATCTTATTCTCATTAACGATCTGTTGCAGCCGTTTGATCTCCGTCTGCAGATCGAACAGCTGATTCTCCTTCAGCTTCAGAACTTCCCTCAGTTCCGCCAGTGAGCTATTGCCATGTTCGAGAGCTTTCACCAAGTTCTGCCTCATAACTAACTCACTAGTTAACATATTAGCAATGTTTATAAGAGTCTCACACTTGTCACTGGCCTGATTGACTTTATCCTCAGATTGGGTTATTTTCTCCACAAATTCATTGGCTATTCCTTCTCTCTTAAGTCCTTGAATAACTTTGTCAAGACCAGCTGTCAAACTTGCCGTAATTTGATTATTCAGTTCTTCTTGTTCTGTAATAAAATAATTACGTTATTAATACGTACCTCTATACTTACTATTATTGGCTTAGTCAATTTCCCTGAACAAATGTTTATAATTATGTACATTTGAATGATTTTATTATTAATATGAACAGGAAACATTGTGGATGCTTTCATGAATATGAAATATGCCTATATACACGTCACTTTATATATCACCCTGTTTCCGATAGTTATAATTACGAGTTCCATTTAAAGAGAGCAGAGCATACATTTCATAGTATTTAAAAAAATATACTTACGTTTGAGGTTAATTTGTAAAGTGTTAACATTTTGAGTGACCTTCTCAAGCTCTGTCTGTGCAATGCCAGCCTTAGATATATAACTCTCATTCAACTCGCACAGTTTAGTAATTAGTTGATCTTTTTCAGTTTCAATTTCATCATGCTCCGACTTTTCGACTCCCCACGACTTGACAAGACCTTCTTTTTCAACAAGCAACACTTCTTTTTCACCGATGAGAACTTCTTGAATAGTTTTTTGTTCAAGCAAGTCACGTTTCAGACATTCTACTTGACTGACTAAGAACTCGTTTTCTTTAATTATCTCATCTTTTGATGCCAGTTCCTCTGTCAAGGTTTGAAGCAATTCCAGTTTCTCTCCACTCAGAATCTCATTAGCTTCCCTCTCTTTCATACACTGCTGGTCCAGCAAGCTGTGCTTTTCTATCAGATCGTCTATTTCTCTACTCATTTCTTCTTTGTTGCTTTCCACTTCCATTATCTTCTGTTCTATAAGTTCTTTCTCTAGTAAGAGATTCTCTATTTCTTTCTCCGCTAATTCTTTAGCTGATTTCTCTTCAACAAGCTGTTGGGTAAGACATTCCTTACTCTCCATTAGATTTTCTGTCGTGGCTACTTGATTCAGTAACTTCCTCTCGAGAGCTGTCTTTTCAGAAACGAGTGAGTTTCTTTCTTCCTCGTAAATTGACTTCACCGCTCTCTCTTCAACAAGGCGTTGCGTCAATACAACCTTCTCATTTAGAAGTTCGTTTTTATCTGCAATAAGAACTTCAATTTCTTCATTTTTTTGTTCATTTTCTGTTTCAAGTTTGTCTCTAGCAGCTTTTTCTTCAATCAACTGGTTGTGTAAAACCTGTTTCTCTTCCACAATAGCAGCTTGCTTCGTTTCTTCGTTGTTAAGTTCTTTAACAAGCTGGTTTACTTGTTCATTGTGGTTTATATTGGAGACTTTCATTTCTTCAGCAAGTTCTTCTAGCTTTTTAACCAATTCATCCCTTTCGGACTTTATTTCAGAAATGTTTTCTTGTAACTGACTTGCTTCATGTGACAAAGTTTTGATTTGTTCTTCTTTAGCTTGTATGTTCTCTTTGGTTTCCACCTTGTATATCTCCCACGTTAGTGTGATGTTCTCATAATCCTTCCTGATGGATTCTAATTGATCAGTGTGCACTTTAAGTTGCCGCTCTAACCTGTCAATGATGCAATCTTTTTCCTTCAGAATAACTTCATGGCTACTATTGTCTTCTTCAATGGCAAACTGCAACTGTTCATTTTCCTTCTGCAATGCTGCTATCGCTTGCTCCTTACATTCATTCGCTTTTTTAACTTCTTGTTTCAATTCGTTATTAAGTGTTTGCAAATCACTTATCTTCTTTTGGAAGTCCTTGGCCTCGATAGTTTTTTGGTGAGCCAAATCTCTGATCAGTTGATCTTCTTTAGACAATCGCTCTTCTAAAACTCGGATTTCTAAAACAGACAATTTATCATACAAAATGTTTTATTTATTTATTTATTAACGCTTCATGCACAACGCGTACACAAGGTGGACTTAATGCTCCAGGCATTTTCTCCCAGTCTGACCTTTGGGTGATACAGAGAAGAGTGAATGGTAGGAGCAATAAGCAAGCAACGATTTAATTGAGAAAATAGAAGATTATACTAACATATTTCAGATACGAACATAAATAAATATAATAATAATATCTATACCTACACACAAGTACAATACAATATACATACATACATAGACTCATAGCATATAAATATGAACATAATTACTAATACTCTGCGAATAATTAGCGTGATGATTCAGCCAACCTCTTCAAGATGTTATCAATCATTATTTTATTATAAACTTACTAAAAGTTACTTACCTTTGCATTTTGCTTCATTAGTCTTCTTGATGTTGTCCAATTCATATTTTAATGCATCTATTTCATTATTCTTGCTAGTTAATTCTTCATTTAGTTGAGATGTGATGTTCTCTATCTGTGCGCATTGATTTTGATATTCTTTTTCAATTTTAGTTTTGTATGACATTTCTTCTTCCAACTTTTGTAGTAAAGCTTCCTTTTCTTTATCTACTAAGTTAATACTTTCCTTGTTCGCCTCCATAGCTTTTTTCAAGTTTTCTAATTCACTGGTAAGTATCTGTATTTGGTGTTCTTTATTCTTAACAGTCTTTCTAGAACCTGTAGTTAATTCTTTTATGGTTTTTTCGTTTTCATTCAGTTTGCCCATCAGCTTAGTTGTTTCAGAGTCATAAGTTTTTTCAAGCGCAGCATATCTTTGTTTTTCTTTTGTCATATTCTGGTCCAAACTCCGGATAGCTGAAATAAAATATTTAGATTAATGTAAACTAAAACAAGCTGTGATATTTGTAACTTGAGAATAAACTACATACCTTTCTTATTCTCGTCAACGGTTTTAGTCAATTTCTCACAATCCGCCTGCAGCTGTGATATCTGTTTGGATTTCGTAGCCAACTCATTGTCAAGTTTTGTCTTTTCTGCGTTCATTAATTCAATTTTGTTCTGCAAGGCTTGTTTCTTCGACGTCAAGTTAGCTATCTTGTGATTATTAAAGTCAATCGTTTGATTCTTTTCCGAAAGCTCATCTTCCAAACTCTTTTTGGTTGTTTCTAGTGTACTGTTGAGGGTTTCAATATCTTTGTTTTTATTCGCGATCTCATCCGACATTTTCGTCAGATCGAGGTTCAGTTTTTCATTGTCTGCCTTCAACTTGTTTACTGCATCTCTGGTTTCTTGCAGGCTCATCTCCAAGGACTCAACAGTCCTATCCTTCCCCGTCAACTCTATTTTCAATTTCGAATACTCGACATTCAACTTATTCAAATCTTCAGCCATGTACATTTTGGCAGACTGTAGTCTCTGCAACTCTTCTTGATAACCAATCTTGTGGCGTATTTCGTCTTGTAAATGTGTTTGCAACGAATTGATGATGGCGTTCTTTTCATCCAATTCACATTTCAGTTTTTCACTCGCCTCACTGAATGCGTTCTTTATATTTTCAGTGTCTTTGAGGAGCTCTTCAAATCTTCTTATTTCACCCTCTAACTGCGACTTACTTTCTTCCAAAACACTGCAGTGTTCTTGCAAGTTAGCTACAAGAACTTTGAAATGATCAATTTCTTTTAGTATTGTCGTAATATTTTGTTCCAGACTGTGTTGCATCGCGTTCATTTCTTCGTTTTTATTATGCAATTTATTTTCAACTTCTCGTTTCTGCTCACTCAGGTGGCGCACGTTCATGTTATATTTATTCGATAGTTCTTTCTCATTTCTCAAGTTCATTTGTAGTGTTTCAATCATCTCACTCTTTTCGAAAACATTGTTTTGTAGTTCGACTAGTTCATTGTTTCTGTTCAATATTTTCTCATTTAACTTCATCATTTGGTTGTCATAACTATCTCTCATCTTGGCTCTCGCTTGCTTCTCTGTCTCTAGTTCAGATCTCAGACCTGCTATTACGTTCTCCAACTTAGTAGTTTCATCAGATAGGCTTTGTAGGAGAGACAGCTTCTGTTCTTGTAGTGTTTGAATTTCTTGCATCTTCTGTTCAATAACTTGCCTTGAGTGCTCGTTATTGTGTTTAATTTGTCGCTCCAGTTCATTATTGTCATTATTTAATTTAACTACTTCATTGTAATATTCAGTTATTTCATTATCTTTCTTTTCAACGGTTTCATTGAAACGGCATTTTAGATTTACAATTTCGTTATCCCGCTCTGAGATTAGTTTTTCGAAGTTTTCTTTTTCTTGATCGGCTTTTTGGTTGAACTCATGCATATCTTCCTACAATACAATATAACTAATATTAATAATAACTAATAGGTGATTCCTATAAATTGAATTTTATGTACATATTAGCAGTTTCTGTTTGAATGTACCCTACCAAACTAAGTAATAGCTACTGCTGTATGGTATATGACAATAGGATCATAAACTTACTTGCAATCTTTGTAGTTGTTGTTTAAGAGCATCAACTTTAGCTCGCTCTTCGCCTAATTGCACTTCCACCACGTTAGCGCAGGCCTCACTACAAACAGCTACAAAAACAAACCCATGCTATTATTTACAAATGGAACAATATAATATAAGCCGAGAATTTTGATCAGCAGTTACGCATCTGATCATTCACACCAAGATCTTATGTTAAACTCTAGCATCAACGTGGATCACATAAATATTTGTTCCATGGTCAAAACCAAACAGAAAGACTTTGAGCAGTCAGTCAGTAAATCACTTCTTTTTTAAATCAAAAACGCGTAGACTGATGGTAAGCGATCAACACTGCTCATGAACACCCGCAACACTAGAGTTACAATGGCGTTGCTAGTTCCGAACTCCCGATTGAGGATTAGACATAACATAACATCACGCCTTTTATCCCCGAAGGGGTAGGCAGAGGTGTACATTATGCCTCTGTACAATGTAACACCCACTTTACACTATTTATGTTATGATTCCCATGTAATAGGGGGTGAGCCTATTGCCATAGCCGGGCACATTTCCAGGCTCCATACTAATACTGTGATTTTTTTTGAAAAACATATTAATACTTTGCCCGACCCGGGAATCGAACCCGAGACCTCTTGCCCGGCAGTCGCACTTGGGACCACTCGGCCAATGAGGATTAGAGTTTTGGGAATATAACATAATTTTTTTTAAACGTTGCCCCACGCTCGGTATTTCTCCTAGGTCGTGGGTGCGTTTACAAACATACACACACAAGTTCACATACACATTCATGACACCCAGACTCAGAACAACAACTTGTGGATCACACAAAGAGTTTTTCCGTGCGGGAGTCGAACCTGCGAGACGTTGCGCGGCAGCCAGTTGCCCAGCCACCGCGGCAACCGTACAGTTAAATTATAAATGGTGCTGTGCTGCATATTATTATGTAAATGATATTTGTATATTTATTAGAATGACTTACAGAGATTATGTTGTAAGGACTGTATGCTGGCGTCAGGGTCGTCGCACTCGAGTAGGCTAGTGTCGAGGCCGTTGCGTCGGTTGTGCTGGCGCAGTTCGTTCACCAGCTCTTTCAAGGCCTGCATATGCCGTCGTTCCACCTCCAACTCCTCGCCCAGCTGTATAGCACGCTCACTCTCTTGCTGGCTGAGAGACAACCATTTGTCGCGGTCTTGTTTCAGCTCCTCTACCTATTTAAGAAGGATAATTTTAAGCTTTAAGGTTGACTATTGCACATGTCAATATTATAATTCACTTACTCCTTTCTATTTGTTTTGTGACCTACAAGTTAAACCCTTGACACTTTTTTTTAAATAACCTAGCAGACTGATAAAATGAAAGTCATTTGCAACCGAAAACATTCCTGGACAATGAAATACTTCCTTATAATCTATAATTAAAGAATGTAATGTTCTTACCTTAGCTTTATAAGTATCCCGTTCGTAAGTAACATCATCGAGTGACTCCTGGGTACGGACGAGGCGTTCCTCCATATCCTGGAGCTGGCGCTGCAGTTTCCCAGAGGACTCCGCTTCAGCTTCCGTCCCGCGCTGAACCTGGTCGTCACCGCAACACATGGATATCTTAGCCTTCAAGTTCACTATATCCAGCTTGTACTGTTCCTTGTCTTTCACTGCGGAAACAAATTATTAGGTTTATTATAAAAAAGAAAGTCGTGTTAGTTACACTATTTATAACTTAAAAACGGCTATATCGATTTGGATGAAAATTGATGGATAGGTAGTAGTATTGACGGACCAGGAGACGGGCATAGCATACTTTAATCCAATACTTTTTACCGAAAATCACGAACGGGAACGGAAAAAACGGGAACACGAAGTCGCGGCCAGGTGAAATAAATAAGCATGTGAGCATAAGTAACAGAATATAAAACAATTACAATCATTACCATAAAATCGGTCCAAGTCTCTGTTAGGATAGTTCCTTAGTACGCTCTTACAATACCCATGGGAGCAATAGCGGTGGTGTGTGACAAATGTATTCTACTCTTGAATGACCACACAATGTAGGATTTTTGTTTTCAAACACTGATAAGAGTTCTCCAATAGCACACAACTGGACGCCACTTTCAGAATATCGTCTGTTATAGAATGCCCACTATGGTGATACTATGTTCATCAATGTATGTTATACTTAAGTCGACAGTGTGCCATGGAGTTTAGCTACAATATGAACAATGAAGCCATTGATTCATGTATCAAGGACAAAGTAAACTGTACTTGAATATAAATATTATTATTAGCAAATAAGCACTATGATTGAGCCACCAACTTATTGACCTTAAAGTGTTATGTGACGCGAGTACTAAAATGAAATTAAAATTCCGTAAAATACTACATAACATTACGCCTTTTATCCCCGAAAGGGTAGGCAGAGATGCATACTACGACACTTAATGCCACTGTACAATATAACACCCACTTTTTACTATTTATGTAATAGGGGGTGAGCCTATGGCCATATACCGGGCACAATTCCAGAATACTACCAGTGCTGCTACTAGCTACTACTGACATTTTTTTAAATCCCAGTAACACTTTGCCCGACACGGGAATCGAACCCGAGATCCCTTGCCCGGCAGTCGCAATGCACTTGCGATCACACGGCCAATGAGGCAGAAAAGCTGTCCGTAAAGTACTTTTGAGTTCGAATTTCAACCTCGGTATGTTCTAATTAGTGTTTGTTTCTTTGTAAATAAAGGAGTACCTAACTAGTTCCGAGAAGACCTTTGTTTGGAACTTGTACCATACTTATATAACATGTCGTCTGGGAACATTAATTTCATCTTTATCATTTTGAAAACTTATGCAACTATCATACGTCTCCAAATGGAGTGATTAATTGACGTAATTTTTAAGTGGATAGGTGTAATAGAAAAAAATGGAGAGTGCCATTTTTTTTTTTTTAAGGGGGGAAAATCATCGAATGACTGCTCCCGCCTGGGTGAGGCGGGAGGGACTTTCAGACTCTTACTGACTAAAAACCACCCCGTTCCTTCTCCTGCACGTCGAGCCGGACCCCCGGTTACCCGTTAGGTTCTCAACTTAATTTTTGTCTCTTTCTAACCCACAACTTCCCTTAAATATGGGGTAGATATGGGGGTAAAGTTTGTATGGAGCATTTCGCAATTTTTCCCAATTTTCAAGGTAGACAGCCAAAATTAGTATGCAGATTATTTAGTAACTACAAAAAATAGAGCATATATTTTTTCGTAGGTAAATCTGCCAACCCTTTTAAAGAGCGCAAACGATACCGCGGGAAAAAGCTAGTGCCTAGTTCTTCAAACACTACATAGGTATCTGTGTTGCGTTTGGCGCAGTGGCTGAACAACCAGCAGCTATACAACGTGGCACGAGTATTCTTCTTATAAATGCATTCATGACAAAGGATTTCTTTTAAAGTGACTGCCGTGAGTCGAAACGAGACGGCGTTCTGTGCTCTGATTGGCTTGTTCACGGAGCCGGCCAATCACAGCGCCAAACGCGTCCTCGTTACGTTTACTTTAAAACGTAAAAGAAACTCGTACTAAGGCCTCTGCTTGTGGAATTTTTTTTTTTTTTTTTTGTTTAGACTGCTCTCTGGAGTCAAGTCTAAACAAACTGTACAGTGGAACCGACTGGGAGTTAGTAGAAGCATTGTTGCAACCGCACACAATACTGAGTTAACTAAATAATGATTCATTGTTCTCTTTGCTTAAGTATATATTCAACACAATTGTATTTTACTTGGTTCTTGCTAAGTGATTTATCCCTAAATTGCTACTTCAGCGCGGTTTCAGCCGCTTTGCTTGTCGACTATTGATCTTAGCGTGATGTTTTATAACTTATAGCCTTCCTCGATATACATATGGGCTATTTATACAAAAATAATGTTTCAAATCGGATTAACAGCTGTGTATAATAATTAGCTTCACCCCGCAACTTCGTATAAGCGGTCCCGTGTTTTCCCGTTCCCGTTCGTAATTTTCGGTAAAATGTAACAAAACTATTGGACAAAAAGTATCATTATGTCATTCTCCTGGTTCTAAGCTACCTCAGTTAAAAAGTAAAAGACATAAGATTGAATTGCTAGGTATGCTATTGCTATATTTTAATCCAGAAATTGTTTTAAATTAAATAAATCATTCAGCTATAGGGCATTTAGTCTAAATTTGACTGCACGGTTGGTGCGGTGGCTGGGCAACCGGCTGCCGTGCAACGTGTCGCGGGTTCGATTCCCGCACGGAACAACACTTTGTGTGATCCACAAATTGTTGTTCCGGGTCTGGGTGTCATGTGTATGTGAACTTGTATGTTTGTAAACGCACCCACGACACAGGAGAATATCCTAGTGTGGGGCAAAGTTTAAAAAAAAAAAAAAAACTCTTTGAAACAAGCACCTAGCTTCACTAACAAATCAATCTAATGTTTCAAGCTACGGTACCAAGTTTTTCACAGGTAAAAAGCTGAAGATTCTGCACCATGGTAGTGTAGAGTAAGACAATGATATTTTCCAGCAATATGTATTAATTACCATACATAGTACTACTGATTTGGGTCAGTGGATAAAAGTCAAGTCATGTAGTTCAACTACACCACATATAGGCACTTTTGAAACATCAAGAGGAGATTAGTCAATCAATCTATCTGTCACTAAACCTAGGTGCTTTATATCTTTAAAGGCAGTGTTTGTTCGTATTAAAACTGTCATAATACACAGTGAAAACTTACTTAGTTTTTCCAGCCTCGAGTTAGTCCTAGCCAGTTCTTCTTGCAGATAATTCCGATCAAATCTCTCAGCATCCAGTGCTGCCTGCAGTCTCCGTACCTCACCGTGCAATGAACGCAAAGCCGGTGGTGTTTCTGCTACTTTCACTTGCCCAGACACCATTTCTGGTCCACATGCTTCTGTAATAAAAATTTTGATTTTGTAATTGAATTGAAAAAAGTTATGGAAGAAAGAAAAAACATTTATTTGGCAATTGGCACACAAAGATTATGATTATAAATAATATAATAGTAAGTAATATTGTAGTGCGTGTGCTCATGCCAAAAGAGCCTCCACCTCAGCATAAAGTTGAGTGTTCCTGCAGAAGGCTGATTTTCAAGTGGCACCCTGCAGTGACTCACTTATATAAAGTTGCAATGTATTAAATATAAAAAGTTATTTGTAGTTGTATAAAACACACTTTAGTTATGTTCAATAATTTATTTAGTTTGTAAACAATCAAACTATTTAAATCAAAGAGAATAAATGTATAAAGAAAGTTTCTTTATTCTATTATAAACTTATATACTAGTTAGCATGTAAGGGGTGGGCCCTTAGCAACAGCTGTGGCTTCCAACCAGACAGCTGTTACACAATTAACATAAAAATGGCAAACACAAAGGGTTGTATAGTTTTGTAATAATAATACTGACCATTACACCCAGTCTAGATGCTGGAATTAGAAAAGAAGTAATATTCAGTTACCTGTAATAGCTGCCTGTAGGTCCCTGAGTGTAATAGGACTACACTCCAGTAGGCTCTTGGTGAATTTAAGGATAATCTCTTGATCATCACCACTCAGCTTGCTACACATCGCACTCTTTATGTCCACGTCCTTAGAATTTACACATACAAAGAAAAGCAACAATGATGCGACCAGATATGCATCATCCTCATTAGTTGATTCAACTGTTCCATTTTCAAATTTAAATTCTGGATACTTCTCTAACAAAAACCCCTCGACTGTATGCGCTTCCAATATAGACGACTTGGATTCATCTAGGTTGAGGTTCTCATGTAAATGAGATATTATATTCAGTAATGATTCTATGTTAACGGTCCGTTCATCTTGATTGTTTTCGTTGAAGTAACAGTTTATCTACGAAATATAAAGTTAACAATAACAACTTTATCTAAAAGTAAAATAAAACAACAATTATCTACAACGACAGTTGTGAAACATCTGCTACTTAGTACTTACCCAATTGTTAATAATAAGCTTCCATTTTTGTAACATGGTATGACGGTACACAAACTATTTTATTTTTACAAGTTTATTATTTTATTAAAGCTTTTATTTTGAATCACATGTGAATATTACGAGAATACTAATAAACAAACAATTTCATAACAGTCGTTTCAATGAAATGTTGTTATTCACCGTTGCAGTTTGAACTGTTTGAATATTCTTTTTTTTTTTCTACCGTTGGTATCGAAATGTCATTCTGAATGTCAGATTGTCAAAACGAAGTTTAGAATTTTCTCTTGACCAGAGCGTTGAATAAGGATTTATGTAATTTAAAATATTTTTCAAATTATACGATTGTGATATTCAAAATGCACTTATTCTAATTGGTATATGAAAATACTGGGTAATATAGAGATAATGTGATAAATAAAATTATGAAAAACATTTTGATTTCGCGATCAGTTCTAGTTTACATTTCTGAACGGCATTGAAGCAGCTGTTAAAATTGACAATGACAAATGAATTGAATGAAGTCGAAACGTCAAAAGTTCAAAATAATGATTATTTTATTTTATTTTTCCACATAATTTAATTATGTAAAAGCGTAACGTTTGAAACATTATAGATTTCCAGTAATTCATATATCATATTTATAAGCACTACTTTAAAATGTCTCCTAAACGTGCAGCAGGATTGGTTATATTTAGGAGTGTAAATCAAGCAATAGAATTTCTGATGTTACAAACTTCATATGGAGAACACCACTGGACTCCACCTAAGGGTAATTAATCATATTTACTAGTGTTGCAGTCAGAAATGTTACACGCAGTTGGAACTTATTATACCAACTTTTTGGATACCAGGTAGGTACTTACCTACCAAGTTGTAAGTCCTTGCACGTAGTTTAGATACGAAGCCGGCGACGGCCAGCCTATTCCGCCTAATACCATAAGCCAAGTCTTAGTTAGAAACTAATAAGTTACGAAGTGCCCCACTGCATGTTGGTATTCCTTAAAATTAAAATTGAAAATATACACTATAATAATAAAATACTCAGAATCGCATGTTCCAAAGAGATCAGAGGTGGGTATACAGAGATTGGGAACGATAAAACCAAGATGTGGTTGACGGGCGACGACCAGATGATGATGCCACTAGCACATTTTGGCGCAACATCTGGTCGGTACCTGTTAGCCACACAGAAGGTGACTGGATGTTTGATGTTAAGCGAAGGTGTGAGACTATACCAGAGATGGAGGAGGTAGAAATCACCTCCTCTGATGTAGCCAGTGCAGCCTGTTCGGTCCCGAATTGGAAATCACCGGGGCCGGACGGACTGCACAATTTCTGGATTAAATGGTTCAAGAGTTCACACGTTCGCTTAGCATTACACTTCCAGGCAGCTTTGGAAACTGGGTCGTTACCACAATTTCTAACAACAGGAGTTACCCACTTGCTCCATAAATCAGGTAGTTCCACTGAGCCCAAAAATTATAGACCAATTACATGTCTACCAACGGTCTATAAACTTCTTACATCCATTTTGAGGACAAAAATAACAAAACATATTAAAAAAAATTCCATCATGTCGGTATCTCAAAATGGATGTAGGGAGGGGTCTCGTGGAACTAAGGAGCTACTCCTCATTGATATGGTTGTTAGCCAACAGGTTCGTCGGTCCCGAAAAGATCTGTCTACATGCTGGATAGACTATAAAAAAGCATATGATTCTGTGCCACATACATGGCTCCTGAAGGTGCTGGAGTTGTATAAAATACATGCAAGTTTACGCGCCTTCTTGGAGTCATGTATGAGGCAGTGGAGCACCGTGCTTTGCTATCCGGGATGTAGACAAATCCAAGGGAATGAAGAACCTGTAAGGATAGTACGAGGAATATTCCAGGGTGACAGCCTGAGCCCACTATGGTTCTGCTTGGCCTTGAATCCTCTAAGTACTCTACTGGAGGATTCAGGGCTAGGCTATCCTTTGCGGAGAAGGGGTCTAGTTATATCCCACTTACTTTACATGGATGACCTCAAGTTGTTTGCTCCAAACAAGAAACAGTTGATGGAACTACTGAATATAACTGAAAAATTTAGTAGTTCCATCAGAATGGAGTTTGGAGTAGACAAGTGTGCGGTCATGCATGTAAAGCGAGGAGGGATTGTGGAATCTGAGGGTCTAGAACTCTCAGATTTCACAAAGCTGAGATCACTCTCCGCAAA